TGCTATAATCTCATCACATCAAACGTACTGAAAAATCCACCAAAAATGTACCCTCTGACTGAAATATATAATCCGCCCCTCGAGCTAAGAACTTTCGCCACGAGCCTTTGGCCCCTCCGTGAACGAAAGTCGGTCTCAAAGACCTCTCATAAGCAATTCTAGAATACGGTCAAGGCCCCTCTATGAATTATATGTACACGATCAAGACCAATGTCAGGTCAAGACCCTCCGTGTAGGATAGAATACGGCCAAGGCCCCTCTGTGAACTAGAAGAAGTACATAATCACGAGTACTTTTTTGGTCGATCTCAATATCACGTTCCACATACCAAACAAATCTCAATATCACATGTCTCATATACCAAGTCACAACGTACAATAAATAATCCTTGAAATTCCACATGTATCATAATAAAATATATTTCTATAATAACCATGTGATTCGAACACATAATTGCTATAATTGCACATACTTTAACGATATACTTTTTTTATAAATACTTTAAAAATATTTATATTTTTCCACTCACAGTACAATGTTCGCAAAATTAACCCGATTGGTAAGCTGTCTAATGTCAGTATCGTCGCCTGAAATATGATATAATTTTTAAATAAACAATTAATTATTTAAATAATTTCAATAATTAAATAGATGATATCCAAACTTAATTATTTCACGTTTGGGCAATTTCTATAGTCTCTTTAATCACTAAAACTAGTTTTTCGTTCATCTTACTCAATTTCATAGTTTATTATACTTAACCCTTTCAATAAAATTGAAATTAATCTAATAATCTAACAACTATAAAATCATACATAACTTGGTAATAAGTAACTTTTTATTTACCTTTCAAAATTGAGGAATTCAAATCTAATAATGTAGACCACTTATTTTCTAACAGCATAGGTGAACTTTCCTATTTTTTTCTTTCTCTTTTCCTTTTTTTCTTCTTTTTCTTTTCTTTTCCCTCTCTTTTTCTCTTTCTCGTATCTTCTCTATTTTGTTTCATTTGTGTGTGTGTGTTATGTGTGTTGTGTGTGTTTTAAATTGATTGTGGGTGGAATTGGATTGATATCAATCCAATTCCACCGCCTCATGTTATACTTTTTTTTTTTTTACTAAATTAAGGTATCATAGTGTCACAGGGTGTATTTGTCATAAAAAAAAAAAAAAAAACTTGTTGGGTAGTTGGTATTGGTAAAGTCAGATTAAAGTTGGGAGATGAAACATGTAGAACCTTTGATGACGTTCGACATATTCCAGATTTGAAGAAGAATCTCATTTTGTTGAGTACTCTTGATTTGAAAGGATACATGTTCTCTGAAGTAGGTGGAGTCTTAAGGGTCTGGAAGGGCGATCGTGTTGTATTGGAGAAACGAAAGAGGTTCCAATTATACATATTGCAAGGTCGAGCAGAATCAGTGAAGAAACGTCAGCACATGTTTAATACCGTGGTGGAGATTCACTTTCAAAATGTACCTTTGAAATTTGGATCTGGGTCCATAACTCAATCGAGTTTGGAGGATATGAGTAATTTCGCTTTACCACTATTGTCCACGGTTCCATTGTATTCAAATGCTAGAAATATACCCATTGGAGATAGGTACAGGGATGTGGATTTGGTTGCGCATGCTTTTGGGATTTTTGAAGGTGTCGAAACTAGCAATGGGCCCTTGGTGAAAGCATTGAGAGTTGATTTTGCTACGAGGTGTAATTCGACCCTATTTGGTAAATCTTGGATTTCTCGTAGGAATTTTGAAAACTCAGTGTTTGAGTTCGCGTATCACTTGTGGATACTTTGAAAGAGAAAGAATAATTTTTTGTGAGTGGAGAAGTTTGGTTTTGAAGAGTTCAGTCATTACGCTGCAATCGGGCTTATTTTTCCAATGGAGAAATTTTAGAGTTTCTTTCGTTAATCTAGAATTCGTGTAAAGGTGGAGATTGTTAGAATTTGGATGTGACCCGAATTCTTTGATTAAGATAATTGAGAGTTTTAATTTAAGTGCACATTAAGAATAATTCTATTTGAAATACTTTTAGAATCCTATTCGAAGTCTATTGGTAAATTCTAGTTGAAATTCTATTTGGAAGCCCTATTGGGAGATGGAATTTGTATTGGACTTAAAGAGATCGAGATAAGGAAACTTTTAAATATTCCCTAAAGGAGCCGACCGCATCACAACCAACCTTTATCTACAAACCAGGTCAGATAATTCTTCTAGGTATTATGTTGAAACATGGTACGAAAATTTTAGTTAAAGCAATCTAGTTTGGGTAGCAAATAAGGAGAATCCCATTTTAGACGTTAATTTCCAAAAATTTTAGATGGGAATTTGGTGGTTATGGAAAAAGTCCAGGTTCCGATTTCAATAGTGACAACTCTAGGTGATGATGGGAATTTAGTTTTGCGAGATGGATCAAAACCTAGGACAAATGAAGGATTTTGGCAAAGTTTTTATAATCCAACAGATACAAGGTTACGTGATGGCAAAATTCCTTATGATAAACGTACGAAAACAAAGCAACTCCTTATATCTTGGAGAAATTCTAAGGATCTTGCACTTGGGTTTTTCTTCCTTGAACTAGATCTAAATGGGGGATAGGCTGTCCAGTTTGAGCCTCATTCTTTGACATCATTCAATTACATATTTTTCAATAAAATAATATTGCTCGCAACTTCAAAAATTTTTCTTATTTTTTAACCATACATTTCTCATCAATACATTATTCAAAAATTTATTCTTATGAAAAGAATGGGGCTCAAACAAGGACAGTATAATATAAGATGGATAGGATTGAACAGTACTAGGCCAATAGAGCTTGGAATGGGCATATTTTCAGTTTAGTACCTGAAATGAGGCTGAATTATATTTATAATTTTAGTTATGAAGATAATATTATTTCACATATTCACTTTTGTTGAAATATTATCCTTCAAGGGAAAGGAGAAGACAATAAAAGAAAGAATCAAGAATGCTAAATATGGTACAAAGGTTCAAACACGATATCGTTGTCCTCAAATAATATTTGTCCCTCCCAAATTGAATTTGATGGTTAAGGGGCTCTTGGCAAATGGTTTATAGGATGGGGAAAAAAAAAACAAAAAAAAGGGAAATTTTCTTCCAAAAGGACACCAAGCTTCAAATTGAAAAATCAGCCGACAGTTAATTTTTAACCCTATGAGTACGCATAATATAATCCATGCGTACGCATGGTAGAAGCATTTTTAGCCTCAGTTTTTGCATAAACAAGCCATGCGTACGCATGACAAAAAAAAAAAAAAAAAAAAAAAATTTTTTTTTTTTTTTTTTTTTTTTTTTTTTTTTTTTTTTTGAAAATTTCTTCCCCCCCTTTTTTTTAAAAAAAAAAAAAAAAAAAAAGTTGAACCCCAACCTTGAGAGCCTCCATCACGCCGCCCCTAGAGCTTTGTGAGAGAGGTAAATCGTGGAATGTGCCCCCAATAGGTCAGAGAACAAGAGCTGTCTGTATACTGCACCTGCGAAGAGTCCAATTCCATGTCTCAGGAATCGAACCCCCACACTGCGACTACCAGCAAGGCCTGAGATAACCTCACTCATGTCTTTTGCATCATTAGGCTATGCTCCGAGGGGCCCTTTCACCCATTTTATTCATTCCATTTCGTTAGGCAATCCTTCAATTACATCTCGATTAATAATGGATGTTTTCGGGCAAATTAAGCAACTTTAGTGGTTGGAGAATATGAAGGAGTGGAATTTGTTTTGGTCGCAACCAAGGCAGCAATGTGAGGTGTATGCTTATTTTGGGGTATATTGTTAGCCAAAATATTGCATATTAAAATAATTTTATTCATTGCAGTAAAAGCTGAACAAGTAATCTAAAATTGCAGGAAATAATAAAAATACTATTGAACTTTCAAATTGAGGTATTGTTTTAATAATTGAAACATAAGTATAAGTGGGAGGTGACAAGAGTGAAAGACAAACGTAAAATCGTGATTCTATGCTAAAAAAAGTGTACACCTTTAAATTGTTTAGTTGTGAAAATTGATGAACTTTAATTATTACATAATTAGTGGTTTTAAACCTAACCATGTGTCGTCTGAAAAGAATAACACTAAAATCGATGATTTTAATTCCTACGACCAACATACTCGAGTTACATTTTCCTCGAGTTTTGATGATTCCAAAAAGTTACTCTTTTTCTTACTACTACTACTATTATTATTTCATCGTTATGCACAATACAGGCCGTACATTAAATTTTTTCATGAGACATGCTACATAAACAAGGGCTTGTCCTAAGCCCCTGTGACAGGGCTAAGGTCTTGATTTGAAATTTAATTTCATATCAAGGGCCCAGTCCTGTCACGGGGGCTTGTCACATGCCCCTGTTTGATTAGGAAATTTCTTTTTTCAGTATAATATTGAGGTCATCATTTCCACAAGACCCACTAGAACACCTTATTATAGTTAGTCACATGGAGAGGGGAAAAAATCAAAAGAGAAAAAATTAAATAGAAAACGAATCATATAGCTTCTATTTAATAATAAAATGTGAAATTGGAATAAATGGTATAAAGTTGTTCAAAAAGAATTTTCTTTAGTTCAAAATTAATTAGGGGGTCCTCAATTAAGATTGTCACGGATTTTAAAAGCCATTCTAAATTTTGATGTCTTTAATTGAAATTTTAATAAAATCCTTTAAAATTTAGACATCCTCGATAATTAGCGTATTTATAAAATTTTCATTAATAGAAGGATTTTAAAAGATTTGAATGGATTTCAAGTTTAAAAAAATATATAAGCAAATATTTTGAAATATACCATATTTAGTGAGATTTTTATGGAATTTGTAAAAATCTATTCCAATCCACAAAATTCATTAGAATTTATAATCCTTTAAAATTCATTAAAATTTTAATTAAGCAAATGATGACTTTAACTTTCGTTCAGAATTCGAATTCGGTAAAATTTTCCAGTGTTCATGAAACATTCATCAACATCATGTGGCATTAAGTGTTGAAATAAACATTTTTTGTTAGATAAAATTGAACCATGATATACAACACTTACGATAGGTTGGAGTTCCACAATAAAATTTACCCTAGAAATTTGTCCTGTGGGATTTACCGTGTCTCAAAAGTGAAATTTACTGTTAGAAAGACAAAAATAACCTTATTCCCCATTTGTCGATTAGCTTCACGTGATACCCCCTACATTTAAAAAAAAAAAAAAAATCACAGGCACAAAAGAGCAGGGGAGCCACATGACATGCAACAACAAACAAATCCCAAATTCTTAAACAAATTATTCCTCTAAATGAAGATAACCAAGAATATTAAGGGCAGAATAAGAATAAAAAATGGAAGAAATTGGGAAAGCCACAAGGACGAGGATGAGAATGAGGATGAGGATGATGAGGACGAGGAATCGAATTTCTCCAACTATAGGGAATCTACGGCCAACGGCATATTTTCCTGATCGAGACTGCACCTGGACTCCTCTGAGGGATTCACGCTGTACAAGATGGCCCGTAATACAGCGGAGACCGTGGGTATACATGCCGTCTTATTCCGGGCTAGTAGCCAAGTCAATCCCATGAGCTGGCAGTCTCGGCTCAGCATCTTGCTTGCTCGGTCATCATTTTTGCGCTCAACTTCTTTTCTTCCACTTTCGCCCTCGCCTTTCAACTGCAATGTAATCATTGAACAGGAGTCAATTAGACTTTTCATAAATCGGGATAAACAAATTTCTATGTCTCCATTAGCCCTTGATAATCATAAGAATAAGTACAATTTTATTACTAATAAAAATTACTTGATTGTAATTGAAGCATATTTTAAAATAAAATAAAAAGTTGTAGATACTAATAAAATTAGTTTCAACTTCAACGAAATCGGCTTAAAACGTTATCAAATAAAAACTGGAGAATTGAAATCGCAGGACTGACCTTTTGCAGAAAGCCAAGGCATTTTGAACAACCGGCGTTTGATGAATTCCGACAATTGTGCTCCAAATTCCTCACAGCCGCAGTGGGAGTAGCATTTATGTGATTCCCAGTAATATTAAACGCCGCCGGACAGTCGAGGGAGGTGAGCTGGTGGAGCCGGATGCCACAGAAGCACAAGACGGCGTCGCAAGATGCATTGGACTGGGGAATATGGATGTTACGGCTCTGCAGGGAGTCCTGCAGCGAGTCCACGCACTTCTCTGAGTCGTCAGGAATCATTGGCATGTCGCTGGTAATCGTCGACGGAGGGGTGTGTGTCAACTGTAGAGCCGACCTGGCGTGCGCAGCGAAGAGCCACGCAGCCAGCACGGGGCAACACCTGCTCCGGTCCAGCTTGCGGCCGCAGGCTGCTTTTACGCCGCCAAACAGTTCGGCCGACAAGTCCGGCCGGCATGTCTGAGTTTCCGTCTGTACCGGGAAAGCAGGGACTGTAGTCGAACTATTGAGATAATCACCCGGTTTTGGTTCCGCCGGCTCTGAAAGCAAGCCATTAATGTTTAATGATGAAATGATGATAAGTAGAAGCATGAACTGTGTGAAAAAAAATTGAAACTTTTCTCATTGGAATTTCATCCAAACAGACTCTTTTCGGGTTTACGGAGGACTTTTTGTTTATTCCGTCCTAATTAATGTGGAAGCTAATGAAGGATGGTCGATTTTCAACAATAATTAAGGAAAGCCAAAAGAAAGTCGTATCCAACTTTTACATTGAAAGAAAATGCCAATACGGAATAAATTATTGGAGGTTACCCAACTTTTAAAAGTCTCAATCAAGTCACAAAACTTTAATATTTTCAAACTAAGTAACTACTTTTGATGTCGTTGAAAGTAATTATAGAGTTTTCCTTGCTTTAAGACAGTTTGCTTTGCTTAACAGAGTTTGCTCGTGTAGACTTATAAAATTATGCAAACACCTTCACTTGTGTATAATACCAATCTAGGTGTTCATTAAGTATCCTTAAATAATTGGACATTTTAAACGAATATGTACGATTCATATTTAAGACATCCAAAGTAGATTGATGCTAAGAACCAATATGATTGAATTATTCGACGTTTTAAGGACATGGAATGCCAAGTAGGATGATGTTCAACAAGTTGGGCATGCAACTATATTATGCCCCTGTTTAACAACCATTCTTTTAAAACTTTTTTTTAATACTCATTTTTAATCACATATTCTCATAATACAATATTCTTTACATAAATTCAATTTTTATTTTTATTTTTAACCACATGTTCTTTAAAATTTTACTATTTAAAACTCATTCTTGCTAAAGATGACTATCAAACACGAGCTATATAAACTTGTGAATGTCCTAAGCCTCACGTGGCATTCTTTTTAATATTGACATCTACACGGTCAGATTCCGTTGATTACGTTAACATCTAAACATGGTGAATTGATTTATAATAATATTAAATTTAGTTACTTAATTGATTTTTTTTTTTTTTTTTTTAAAGTTGAGTGACTTAATCGAAACTCCGCATGAGGTTAGGAGGAACTCTTATCAAATTTACCCCTGAAAAAAATAGAAATGTGCTTGTATTGTGACGTTGGTGCAGAGTAGAGTGGAGTGGATAGGTTAGGATGGATAGGGGTGCACGAGAAAGGTGTTTGAGGGATCTATCTCGATTTTGATGCTTGAGGGTCCTCATTGACCAAATATATTTATCTTGGGGTAATTATTGAAGAAATATGATACACAAACAGGGTTAGGGTTTTTTTAACAGGAGTACACATGTCAAACATCGATTGGACAGTTTGAAAAAAAATTAAAAATGCATCAATCAGCTACTAGCACGCAGTCTCTGTCCCTAAACCATATCACTTGCCCCTATTTGACTAACATAATACAATACATTATTGAATTATGGGTTCTTAATGGGATGTTTACTAACCTCTTGTTTGAGCTCCATTATAAAGAGAAATTTTGGAAAAATGTATCATGGAATAGTATTTTTTTGGGAGAATGTGTGGTTAAAAAAGAAGAATTTTTTTTTATTTACGTATAATATTATTTTATTGAATAATGTATAATTGTAAAGAAGATATAGAGAACAATATATTAAAATTTTAAAGAGAGTCAAACAAGAGCAATTTGAAAAGTACACTTATGGTAAATTTAGCCCGTATTTGACTAGGATTATAAATTGCTATAAAATTTGTGTAAATTATTTAAAAATAAGTTTGATTAATCAAAAATCTTTAAAAAATTTACTAAACAAGATCTACCTATAATTAAAGGCAATAAATACTTTCCGTTATGATTGAAGCTCAAACTAATTAAGCTACTTATTTATCGACAAAATAAGACTTAATGATAAACTAAGTATTTTTAGTACTTAAAATAAATAAATAAATAAATTATTTACCTGACTTGTAGTAAAGTAGTGAGGGGCAGGCCTAGGCCTCTACCTCAGGCCCAAGACCATTAGGGGCCTAATTTTTTGCCCCCTTTTTTTTTTTTTTTTTTTTTTTTTTTTTTTTTTAATAACAAGGTGAGCAGGCCTAAAATAAGGTGAGCCGGCCCAAGACTAATTATCCAACAACAAAACAAAATCCTTAATACACCTTTGAATTTTGTCGCTAGTGGGCTTAATTTTCATCATTCGCCTCAGGGCCCATCAAACACAGGGTCGGCTCTGGTGAGGGGTCAGGGATAGGGTGGAGTACAACCAAATGTAAGGTAAGAAATTCAAGGAAACTGAAGAGAGACGAAAGTGAAAACAGAAGGCTGTCTGGGAATTTGGCAGTTTCTGATGTTGTCTTTATTCTCTTCATTCTTTAATTTCTTGGTCTTGCTGTGAAATTTTTCTTAATTTGTTTCAACTTTTTATTTGACTTGTGCCTCATGACCCAAGTGCTTCGATAATAGTAAAGCATATTATTCCTTCAAAAATATTTGAGTTTCCACTAAACATGTTTGAGAGTGATAAATTAAAATTTAAATAATTATATAATATGAATTTCACGAAATAATATTTTTCACACCTTCCTCTTACAAGCTAGTATTGAGAACGACTTCTGTACAATAAAAATATAAGCCGGTCTCATTTAGGCACGAGCCTTGTAAAATCAGGAGAAAGCATGTGTGATTTTGATTCTTATTTTCATCTTCTTATACCTAGGCACATTGAATCAGATTCGAGTTTCATAAGGACGTAGCCAAGGACAAACCTAAGAAGTTTTTTTCGGTGCGTGCAATATTAAAAAAGATACCAAAAATAACAACATTATAACTCGAACTTTATACTAAAATTGGAATACCTAACAATTGTTCATTACAAGTTTTCATACTTTGATATCTTTGTAAAATCACTTCATTATCATTCTTTAAGAATATATCTTTCTTCACATAAACAACGAGACTATCATTCATCCACTCATCTCCAATCCGATTTCGTAATCTATCTTCACAATGTTCATGGCAGAAAATATACTCTCCACCGTAGTCGTGGCGATCGAAAGAATTAGTGCCAAAGTCAAAAGCTTATAAACCAGTGGATATACTCTACTCTTATTTGTTAAAACTAATTTCTATGCGTGAATGCTAAGGTCAGTCAATTCTTCAAACTCTTTGTCAGAGGGAATGTCAAAAATGTATTTATCAAGTTGAGCTACCAGTGTGAAGAGATCCATTGTTCAAAAATCTAGCGGATAAAACTTAGCAAGTTGAATTAACTTTCTTTTGTCAAAAGCCAAGAATGAATTTTGTGAACATAGACAAACTACAAAATCAAGCAACTTAGTATTTAACTCCAAAGAATGATCATTCAATTCTTGAAGTTACATATCGATGATAGCATAGAATAAATCTACCCGAAAGTGATGCAAGTTGGTCATTTGCGGAGAATTACGATGAGAGCGACCACCATATGCATAATGCATAAACATAGTGTAATACACAAATTTTTTCTAATTAGATTTTGATAAAAAGAGATGAAGTATATCGATATTGGATAGGGATAGTAGTTCTTTTAGATTGAATAAAATAATGATAAAGTACAATATTTGTTTTATGATACACGCCACCTCGGATTTGACTCTATCAAATAATTTTTTTTGGTTTATCAATTGCTCTAGCCTACACCTATATGTAGGCATGATGGAAGGGTTTTACATACACAAATCCAAATATTCACTTACGGTAGAGAGAGAGAGTAGTGTTGGAAATCTAAAAGTTTGTATACATTATTGGCAATCAATACACTTTCACCGAAGCAGAGAGGTTGAGAAAAGAATTTGGGCACGAGCAATTATATTTTATTTTATTTAGCAAGATAAGATACTTTTGTGCAAATATTTTCGTTTCCTTATACTATTATATTCAATTAAATATGCATGGATTGCCTATGGACCTTCGTGTTCTTTAAAAAGAGATAGATGAAATCCTACGAGGTTGTAAGATGACTTAAAATAGGTGTATCGCTTGGTCACCAATATATTCCATAAAAGCAAAGTGGTATGAAGTGTAGATTTTATTTGTTATATAATTGTGCATGAAAATTGCATATATCTTACTGGTTGTTTTTCGATTGCTCATTCTTACAAATTTTTACAAGTTAGTTCAAGTCGAAAGGAAATGGTGGTGGGATGGTGATGCGAACTATCAAGTGAATCTAAGAAAGTAAAAAGAAATTAAACATTTAGTTTTTTTTTATGTCTCTAAATTTAATTATTAGTTTTATTTATTCAAAAACTCATTTGTTTAATTAGTCCACTGATTGTGTTTAAATTTTAGGCCATGTTACAGCAACAGAGGGGCTGATTGCCCCCATGACCGAACCCCACAAATAGGGGGGGTCCCAAGCTTTTTTTGCGGACCCTAGCCCATTTGTGGGGCTCCTACCGCCTCTCTCTTACATGAACAAAATTCTTAAATTTTTGGAAACTCTCAGATCTTGCGTTTAAATTGATATTTATATTTGAAAATAAAGAATTCCTTCTATTTGAGACGTTCCAAAATTATAAAAGAGAAAATTAAGTTTTTCGTAATGCTCTAACATTTATAAAAATTTGGAGCGTTACATTATGGTATCAGAGCATGATTTTACTTTCCTGTAGACTTTTGTTTTTGTAAACCTGAAAAAAAAATTCACATGAACAATGACAAAAAGAAAAGATGTTTTTTTTTAAAAAAATCGTTTCTTTTATTTTGAAGAATAAATGTTTGTTTAAATTGATTTTGAAAAATAGTAGTTTAAAATTTAAATTGTTATGGTTTAATGTCCATAATTTAAGTTTCACATTTGATAAATTTTTATGTGTTTAACTTTAGCCATTGGTGATGTTTTAAACATGCACCAATTTGAAAATTTACATTTTAAGAGATTTCATGTTTGACTTGTTGTTTGAGTTTTGTTGATTTGCGTAATTGCAAAATTGAAAGGTTTTGTCAAGAAGATCTAAACTATCTAAGAAGTGTTTAGGATTTAAGCGGTCTGTCTGTGACCCCCCCTCCTCATCTGGAAGACTTTTAGTAGTGCATTATTCAAATCAACGAAGCGGAAAAGAATATTTCAAACATTCTAGTTAAAAAGGGGGGGGGGGTTTCGGAACTTTATTTTGAGAAAATCTTATATATATGTTTGTCAGAAAAAATGTGTTATAAGAATACTTGGCACGTGGCAATCA